AGAAGAGGCAAACTCTCAGGCAGATGGGTCCCAGTTACTGGAGAAAGGGGCTTCAAAAGGCTGCAGAGGCCTGTTTGTCTGACATTTCCTTCTACTGGGTTTCTGTCAAAGCCAGGGGGCATGAGCTGAACACCCAAGAGAAACCCTTCATGAAGGGACTTGTTCAGAGCTGAACATGCAGCCACAGAGTGTGGGTGGTCCTCCTAGTCTAGGTCTTGGATGGCCCTGCAGAAGCCCATGGAACTCTCATTGTACAGGGTGAAGGGGATGAGTCAGGTTTGACATTTTCAACAGGGTGGTGTCTTTCCTGAGCTAAGAATCTACTCAGTTCCTCTGGGGCACCCCGAACCTTCTTGTTCCTTCTCCAGTGCATCTTTTGGTCTGGACACACCGTGCAAGTCCTCAAAGATGGGGGAATGAAGTGATGCCAATTCATCAAATTATCAAAGTGTGTTTCCTGATTACTGAATTGTGGCCAGTTTTCTCTACTGTTTGCCATTCTAAGAGTCCTTGATCAAAATAGTCAGGATGTGGCTTCAAAACATGGCACTTCCGTGACAGAAAGAATGCACCAGCCCTGTCCCCTTGAACTCAACAGACTGTATGTTACTCCTCATAGAACAGTTGAAGTCTTTTTTGAAATTGTATTGGTTACCATTTAGGTTAAGAGTGAAATTGCTGAAATTCTGACTGTTTGAGACATGCTTATAAACGCAGGCAGCAGATAGAAGTATCAAGATGAAGATGAATTTGAGGACACTTGTTTTTGTTGTTGTTGTTCTTTTTAATCCTCACCCGAGGACATCTTTTGCTATTTTGTTCAGATAGTGTGGGAGGGAGAGGGAGAGAGAAACCAACGTGAAAGGGACACATCGAGTGGCTGCCACTACACAACCCAACCAGGGCCGGGGACAAACTGCAACAGAGGTACGTGCCCCTAGCAGGAACCGAACCCGGGTCTCTCGGGACTGCAGGCTGACACTCTAACCACTGAGCAAAACCGGCCAGGGCAAGGACACTTGTTTTTAAGTAAAACACTCCGTCTGCCTCTACTTGCAGTGAGCTGGGCCGAACTGACTTCCTCTGGGATCTTAGTTAAGGGGCCTAATCTCATTCGAATTGAGATTCTTAACCTTTACGAAGGGACAATAATTGCCACCTTGGGTTCATTGTGATTACATTTAGAGTAGAAGTAGCACAGGACTTAAACATGATAGGTTAGAAAAAATTCACTCAACACTTTTTAAGTATGGACTCTGGGTTTTGGGTGATGCGCTCCTCAACTCTGGGGCCACAGCTCACATCCTAATTATCTGATATTTGTAAATTTACTAGGAAAGCTTTTGTTTTTTCCTGGCAGAAAATAAAATGTTTGAGGAAGGTATACCATTTAAAAATTCTCACAAAGGCACCATTTAGGCTAGCTAACCTAAAGGGAAAAGCAACACAGAGGCAGTGGTTGATGGTTGTGTTGAGTCTTGAAAGCACAAAAGTTCGCAAGGTCAAGGAGGGAGGAGAAAGCAATCCTCACAGAATGAAAAGCTACTGAACCTCAGCCATAGTGCTGATTTCAAAATATGTCTATAAATTCCTTGACTTTCCTTCCTTTAGAAGATGGGGTCTAACTCCCCTCTCCATGAGTATGGGTTGATTTAGTGACATGCTTCTAAATGAGCTGAATGTGGCGGGTGGGTGTGCTTCAGAACACTGGGTCGCAAAAGGCATTGTGATTTCCTCCTTGCTTCCTCGGGGGTCATTCTCTCTTCAGGAAGCCAGATGCCATGCTGTAAGGACTCTTGCCAATACCAAGTGAGCTGTCTTGGAATTAGATTCTCCAGCTCCAGCCAAGCCTTCAGATGATACAGCCTTGGCTGATATCTTGTCTGCAGCTTAATGAGACACCCTGAGTCAGAACCATATGGCTAAGCCACTCCAGGATGCCTGGACCACAGACACTGAATTAATAAATATTTATTGTTGTAAGTTGTTGAATTTGGAGGAAATTTATTACACAGCAATAAGCTATTAATGCAGTTCTAAGACGTTTCCAGTGGAAACTTACTTTGGTTGGAGCCTAGGGTGGGTGGCTGAAAGGGACGGAGACAATGAGGTCTGAAGGTATATGCCCAACATTCTTTATTAAGAAGTTAAGATTTATACTATCAGCAAAATATTCAAGCTGGAGGATGTTTCTATATAGAGGACCTTTTAACATAAAGTTTTTACATAATCAAAATTAATTTTGATATCTTTGGCATAAAATGGGATGTGAAGAGACTGGCTGAGGGGGAGGGGTACTTCCAGTTAGGAAGTTCTAGGAACAATAGATCAGGTAAGACAACACTTAGAACGAAGACAATGGCAGAGGAGGTGGATATGGAGGATTGTCTTAAAATTTAGCATTTTTCAGAAAGAAACAAATTTCCAGGGCCATAGTGCAATCATGTTTCACTCTGCATTGTGTAGGGGGAAAAAGTGTGCTGAAGTATTATGACAACCCTGTATTCATACCAACATCATACACACACACACACACACACACACACACACACACGAGATACTCACTTCCATGCACTAACAGAATGAGCACTTTATTAAAAAGATTTCACAATTGGGGAACATCTCCCTCTTAGGATTTCTAGTAAGCATTTGATCTAGCCCTTTATAAAAAGTTTAATTTTAAGAAAAAGAAAATGAGTACTCACCTTTCATGAAGGGAACCACAAATAAGGCCACAGAATATTAGACTGAATTATAGTGGAATGATTCATAGCCCTGTTAGAATACAGTTTAATGTAGATTTTAAATGTTGGAAGAGTCAGTAGAATCTATGACTAAAGCAGCATAGGCAGTGATGTTAAATTAGCAAAGAAGTGCTTATCTCCCAAACAAACTAGTTTCCTTAGAAAAAGAACATCTATTTTTGGTATTTCAATAACCCCAGAAAAAAGATGGATGTATAAATGCTAAGACTTGAATATGTTAAATGGCCATATTTCTATCCCAATGGCGAAGGAAGAAAAAATGTGTGTGTTTTCATCCCATTATCTTGAATGCACTGTATAATCACCACTCATACTGAATTTCAAATGTTTTTTTTGAAGAAGTAGAGTTCTAATTGGACTGAAAATTAATCAGAGAACCAGAAAGAATTAAAAACCAGTAGAGAGAGTCAAGGAATCAAATTTGATTTTCAGAAGAAAATGTTTATGAATAGTAATAGCTGGGAATCACATCATTTCTGTTTCTGAAAATGACTTTAAATAATGCCTTCTTTTACATTTACATATTATATGGAATTTGGGAGAAATGTTAATCTATAAATAATTTGATTCAATAAATACTTGTTGAATACTCAATGTCCTAATAGGAGATAAGACATTTCCACTAAGAGGAATATTCCTCTTAAAATAAATGTGAAAATCTAAGGTCCTTGAGGCAGAGACTGTGCTGTTTTCCACAATTGCCACGTGTCTATGGTGAGGACTGAAAAAGGGAGTCACTCAACAAATGACTTGTTGAAAGAAGAATGAATGAATGAGTGACAAATGTATGAACATGTGTCATGTTAAATGATGTTGGGTCTATAAATTTCCAAGGTATGTCTCCCTGTAAGAACTCATATATATTTACAGCTGAAGGGTATAGTGGAAGAAGTAAAAGCTTTTGATGTTTAAGAAAAGATAAAAATATCTAAAGTGTAAACTGAGTAAAAAAGAGGCAGCGTATTTTCGGAAACCGGAGGCAACTATTTTAGCAAAAGCACACTGCTGTAGCCACAAGTAAGAACACCGCTGTTCAAAATAATTGTGATATGGGGGAAATAATAAAACCATGTTTCTTTAAGACTATTAAAAGTTTGCTTCTGGCTCACATTCCAAAGTTAAACTTTCATGGAGGGAGCAAAGGAAAGAACAAAGAGAAACCACCACCATTAGTGCCTGCATCAGAGCTATTTATTAGCGTAAATTTTTCTTTTTTTTTTACTTCAAGATTTCATAACAACTGAAGTATGTACAAAGTCTTACAGCATTTACACCATAAAAAGTTTCTCATTAGCTGAAGTCTAAGGTCGTGCTCCTGGACTTCAGAGCAGAACTACAAGGGCAGTGCAGCAGACCACTGCGTGTGTACCTCTCTGCTACCACACCACAACTGTCAGCTGGTTGACAGCTAACTGGAAGACAAGTTATTTGGAAAAAAGGGAACAAGTTGATATGTAGCACTAGAGACTAGGGGGGCAGGGGTATATAGTGTCAATGTTTCTACAGTTTCCTAGAGCTGTAACAAAGGTGCACAGCCTGACAGATAACATATGCAAGACAACACAATCACACTGCTCAGATATGGTTCAGCCACCAAAGGTGTTCACTGTTGAAAGGAGGCTCTATACTAATATGGCTGGTATTTCCGTTTGTGTTCATGTCTTTAGATAGCTCCAACCTGCACAAGCCCCCATCCCCCTTCCAAATAAAACAACAAAGAAAGGGAAGGCAGGAGGGAAGACAATCAGCATGGAATTAGTTATTGACCAAAAAACAACACCCTCTCCCCAATTTTAAGACATTAAGTAACAGCTTTAGAGTGGCCATTCCTATCAAAAGATTAACAGTAGAAACTTCTGAATCAACCCAAATCAGAAAAATACCAACAAAACCCCAGACATTCAACCTCCCAGATATAATCACCTTCAATGTATCTGATTGTCTTTTCTTGGGGTCGGTATTATACAGAGCCACCAACATTTATTTACACACTGAATAGGACACAGAACATAGCATCGCTGCCCCAACCATTACTTTAGCAAGTGGCAAGACAGTTGCAACACGTTAGTGATTAACATCAGGTTCACCACTGTCTTCCTCTGAAAACCCAGCCTGCTTCTATCTTAGATCAGTTAATTGTTTGGTAGCCGATCCCATTTACTTTCCCATTGTTTTGGTCTCACACATAGGCAAATTGGCTTTTTATTTCAAAAAGATTCTACTCTCAACTTAAAAGCCAGTTGATAAAACTTTTAATTAAGACACAATAGCGCAGGATATAAAACACAAGAGCCACATAAATATTGAAGAAGTTGTATACCATTTCGTGTAAACAGTTTTGCTTCAGATCAAAGCCCTAATCAGATTCTGGCCTGAAAAACTTTTGGCAGATGACGTGTTCAGCCAGGCTCTGCAGCGATGGTTGACGTGGATGCCAGGTCAGTCCCCATGTTGACAGGCATGCAACTTGAAAACATTGCACAACAAGCAACACAAAGAGAGTGGAGAAGCTCACAACACTTCAAGGAGACCTCACAACCTTCACAACTGCGATGCACAGACAGAGACCCACCCCTCCCTCCTTTGCACGCACTTTCTCTTACACGTGGGAGACCTTCTGCGACTCTCTAGCTTGTTTGATGCTATATAACCACTTGATGATCCTAGCATTTCTTTCGATCGCAGAAATGCCATATGGCACCCGATCATTGGCACTGTCATCATTTCTAAGGTCACTGTTACTGTCCTGAGACTGTTCACAGTCTGAGCTGATCATGCTTGCACTGCGGAAGTTGAGGGAGATGATGTCAGAATTAGCCCTTGCAAAGTTTTCCATTCCAAGGTTTTCCAGCTCTTCAGGGTCCAGTCCGCAGTAGTTGAAGAACCGCTCCACGTCTGCGTCCACCCGGAAATATCTGTCACTCAAGTCTGACTTAGACCGCTGGAGAGAGGGTCTTCGGCTGACTCCGCAAGCTGGCTCCACAGGGTCGACGTCGGGGGACTTCATGGTGACAATGGCAGTGACCTTGGGTTTGGGAGGCAAGGGAGGTGCGGAGCTACTGCAGGGGATCGCTTTTAGGGGCTTCACACTGGTCACTTTGCGGATGTCCGAGGAGCTGTGGGAGACGTGGAGGAAGGACTCGGCCGTCTGCTCCAGCAGCCTCCTGCCCACGTGGGAGCTGCTCTCCTGCGGGCTGCCGCGGCCCTGCGTCGGGTAGACCTTCAGGGACTCAGCAAAGGAGTGTCGGTGCAGGTCGGTGGCGTCTGGCCTGTGCGGCGGCCAGTTTCGGGAGCTGTGCTTGTGCCCCGAGCCTGAGCTGGAGCCTTCGGAGCTGTTGATGATGTTCTTCAGGATCTCGAGCTTCAGGGTCTCCCTGTGCACGCCGCTCTCGGTCTTGGCGTTGGGTCCGAACACTCTGAGCGTGGGGCTGCCCAGTGCGCGCTTGGCGCCGGGGCACACGGGGGGCTTGGCCAGCACGGCCGGCTTCACGGGCTCCTGCTTGGCGTTGATGACCTCCTGGCTCTTGACATACTTGGCCTTATCGGCTTCCAGTCTCTCCACCGCGCTGAGTCTTTTGGGGTTGGGCTCGGCCTGCCTGCGGAAGTAGTCCGGCCCCTTGTTGAGGATGCGCAGGGGCACCGCGGAGGTGAAGGTGCCCGCAGGGCTGACCGGCTTCACCATGCTACCTGTCTGTAGGGTCTCCGTGGGCATGGTGGGTGGTCTCTCCCCGGCGGCCGTGTTGGATTCTCTTCTGGGCGCCTCCGGGGGCACTGAACAGACACATGTACACGAAGCACAAAGGGCAGCTGATGGACCCTGGAACCTGCGTGTCAGCAGCAGCGCCTCATCTCAGCCCATTAACCACCACTGTGGCTTTCACTCACTTTCCCCCTTCCAGGCAGCCCGGGTACAAAAAGGCCACAAGTTCCTTAATCGGCTTCGCCGCCTCCTTTCTTCTCCCCGAGGATGTGGGAGTTTCCTCCAGGTCTTTGTGTTCAACTGCAGGCAGAGCTGAAACACAAAACCACCAACCGCGGTTAGGATGGGCGAGTGACATCACAACTGTAGCAACCAAGAAACCCGCTGCGCCCCCGCCTCCACCTGCCCTCCGCCGGGGGCTGCTCCGGAGCGATCCCGGTTCACCGCACACACCGCGGGCGTGACCCGCCCGAGCCCGCTCGCCGCAGGCAGAGGCTGGCTCAGCGAGAAAGGGGCTGACACTCCCCACACGTGAACTCTTCCAGCTGCCTCCTCATTGGTGGGAACCACCTCTGATCACGCCCGATTGGTATTACTTAAGTCAAAACCCAGGAAATGCTAGATGGCTGTAGAAGTGCTGGTTTAGCAAAGCCCCGTTCCCAGTTCATTAAATGCTGCTGGGTTCCTAAGAACCTCTGTCTGGTTTAGTCTGCAACACCGGCGGATTGCGTCTTTTTTGCAATGAAGCACAACTTCTGACTTCTTACTATACACCTCTCAATTAACACTTGAAACAAGCACTTCCTAATTCTTCAAAAACTAAAAAGATAGGCAGAAACAGGAGACAGTGAAGATGAAACAAATTTTAGAAATCAATGTTTCTGTTATCTCATTTTTCCTAACCAATATATTTGAAAACACTTTCTCCTGGAAACTAAGAATGCTTATGATGTTCATCCCATTACAAACTTATTTTTAATAATAATAATAATAACAATAACTAGAAATACTTCTAGATTAACTAGAGAAATAGACAATTTGATTTTAAATGTTCCATCATTTTTCATACTTAATGAGCAGAAATCAAAGTTTCTCTGTGGTATATACCCCTCATCCCACCCCAGGAAACTAAGAACAAAATCTTAAGATGTCAATCACACCTAAAATGTTACTGTATAGAGAACTTGTAAAATAGTTAAGCATTCATGGAACTAATTTATGGCTTTCTGAACTTGACTACCTAACCACCAACCAAACAAGATAGATCTATAGGGGTTTTTCTACTTGGGAAACAATATAATGTAGCATTTACCTCTGCAGCTCTGGGGACAACTCTCTAAGTGTTCTCTCTTCAGAGAACACTTATGAATGCATTGGCATTTGAAAATAACTGGTTAAAGACCTTTTTAGCATCTTTGGTTATAATAGGGACTATTAAGAGTAACGTATTCTACTAATGTGTCAAATAACTAATTTACAAAATAAGTAAAGTAGTATTACTATAAAATCATCTGCTCTCATGGTAAGAAAATGAAGTGTTTATTAATAACTGTCGGGGGAGGGGGATAGTTCTCCTTATCTTTTGAAACTCTTAATCTCTAAATACACCCATTGTCATTTTCGTCAGAGATAATTTTGTAATCTGCAAAGGATTTGTTCTAGTAGAAATATTTTCCTGTAAGATTTGAGAAGCCCCAAGGCAATTTCTACATAATGATTTCCTTTAATTGTGTGGTTCTTTTATAATACTTCAATTTAGTTCAAAAAACCACCTCCTCTCATGAAGATTAAGTGAGATTGTTTCTTTGAACATATTTTGAATGAAATGCCCGAAAAGGAGTGATGATCATTCTGCAGAGACTCTGGGTCTATCCATTTAACCACCCTGGCCCACCTCTCTGGGAAGATGAACTGGGGCCTCTCCACTAAGGGGGCTCACAGCCTGGGCTTGGGAGACAAACCCTCTGGATCACACCCAGGGCACCTGAGAGAGGACTTCCCCTAGGACAGGCCACGTTTCTCTAGAGCACGTGTGACATTTTCACTGATTACCTTCGTAGCTTCCAAAATTCATTCAGGGAGGGGACAGTGCCAGAAGGTTCAGGGGCAGAGTGAAAGACGGGACCGCGTCCATCAGCTCTCTGCCTACAGACCTCAGCAAACCTCTAGCAAGTAGGACGATAGGCCAGTGGGCAGCAGGAGACACGACTTATACCTCGTCTTCTGGGGCCTTGTCTCCTCCCCTATGAATGACATGAAGTGATTGGAGGAGATTCTAGCCTTTCTCCATCCAAAATCTTGTGGTTCCGAGGAGCTAACAATGAGTGAGTTATTTCCAATTTCAAAATGGTATCTGGGAATATTGGCCCATGACTGAACTTTGCTATGGTTCTTGCATTTGCTGTTCTTAGGAAAATGCTCTTTGAATGATGGGCTATAGTTAACATGTAACTTCCACCCGCATTAAAGCTCAGAATGGCCTGTCTTCTGACTCTGTCACATTAGGACCAGAAGCCCCAGATGTCCACCGCTACTGACCTGCCTTGCTATCCAGCCCTGTTGTCAAGGTAGCCTCTGGCATCCTTGGGAAGACTGAATCGAAATCATTCCTCTCAACTCATGAGACTGAGAAACACCTATTTTCTAGAAAGTGTTCTTTAGAAAGCTCATTGTTTTCCTTTCACACTTTCTTTCTTCATGGAAAAGAAGGCATGAAAGTGGATAAACAGAGGCAGACACCCTTAGGATGGTTCCTCTGGGCACTCCACACATCCAACCTTATGAAGCAGTTCCAGGACATAAAACCAATATGAATGGGTTATGTCAGAAAAAAGTTAATTCTCTGTAACTACACTTCCTTTCCTTTTGTTTCTCTCCCTCCCCCTCTTTCCACTGTTATTCCAAACTTCCCTGATGATTCCCACACACTGATGATGTTTAGAAATGAGCATGGTCACAGTTTAAAAGTCCAGTTTGGATTCTTTGAGGAGGAGAAGAAAGCATCTTCTAGGAAGAACGAAAAGCCACAGAACTAGCTGTGGAAACTGGTTGGATACTACAGGGTAATAAGGTACAACCTAAGTTTCCTGTTTTAGCCAACAAATTAAAGCTACTTCAAAAATATGAGAGATGGCTTTGGCTGCTCCCTCTCTTAATATTTACGTCACCCCTAACTTTTGTTCTTTTACTTTTCCAGGTTTAAACAGTGTGGGCTGGGACAGAGTTATACGGTCTCAGAGTTCTGTATGATGCAGACCAGGACCAGGTACATTCAAGAAGGCCAGGCGAACGGGAAATGACACACCTGGAGACAGGAGCCGCGTTCTGATGACATTAGTGCCAACCACGGACTGTGTTCAGAGAGCCCTGTGGCGCGTGACTCAGCTGCCGCAGCCCGCCCCAGGCCCCAACACCTGCACAGGCCCCTCAGCTTTGGAGTGGGGCTTCAATTTTCTTTTTATCTTGATTCTGGGAGGGAAAGTGAGTCTCAGCCACATAAGGTTTCATAAACAAAAGTTAGTATTCAGCCCCACTCGACCCCTGACTTCCGGCTAAGGAGAGAGAGCACAGCCTGAGGGAGAGAGAAGCTTCCATTCGGGAACGCTGTGGCTCCATTCTACCCTGTTTAGTATCCATTTGAAAGTTTCATGGAAGGATAAAAAGGACTGGAGACTAGAACTTAGGTACGGAGCCCAGGTACAAAATGGGCCGCAGAATCAGGGCGGACATGAACACAGCAACAAGCTGGCCTGGGGGCGACTGTGGGGCAGAGTCCTGGGCTCCCTCCCGCTGGAGGCCATGGCCAGAGGGGTGATGTTATCTCTGAAGGAGTCCCGGCCTGTGCACAGGGCTCATGTGGCAGGGAGCCAGCCAGGACAGGGACAAAGGGATGGTACCTGCACACTCCCAGGGTCTCCTTGAGACTCAGAGCCTGGCTCAGCAGCTCTGGGGGGCCCTGGGTTCTGCGTTTCTCGCAGATGCCTAGGAAGCGGGCCCGCCTCCGCGCGGCAAGGGGCAAGGGAAGGAAGCTCAGTCCGCACCGGTGAGCATTGGCTCAGAGAGGAAATGCCTCTGGCATGGGGAAGAGGCTTTCCTTGTCTCCCAAAGGAATAAAAGTCTGGGGCTTTGGGGGCACGAAAATGGCAATCCCAGAGAATCTGAAACTTTTAAAACCAAAGTGGCCTGAATCCTTCTAACTTCCAAACTGTCAGCTGCTCACACGGACCGTTATCGGAGGACCAGGAACCTGGCTGACGTGTAAGGTTGGGGAGGCCCAGCATGCTGGTCTAAGAACATGTGCAATCCCGGAGATAGTCAGGAATAGAAAACAAGCCTCAATACACTCAATACACACAGTTCATATAAAAAATGCTAAAGTCAATGTTCCTCCAATCCAGACCACGCATGCTTCCGTGCCTCTGAGGCCGGGCAGGGAATGGGGGACAGCGGCCTCTGGCTCAGGACTGCCATGGGAATGGGCTTCGGGGCCGAAACAGCAAATCCAGATCTCTGCGCAACCTCTCGCAATTTTGAAATTCACCATTATGAAGCTGCAGGCCAACTGCTTCCAGTAAGTACAAGGAAAACATAGCTAATGCCTAATTAATTTTTAAATTTTAGGTTGGAGCAAGGACCCTGCAATTGAACACACCCCAGGCTTCACCTGTAGAAGTGAGAACTGGTCACTGCTCATGTGTGTCAGGGCAGAGAGAAGGTGGTGATATTGTTTGAAAGAGGGTGCCTATAAACCAACTCCAAGTCAACTAACAATTCAGTGTCTTCATCTCATCGATGAAAATGAATGTGTTAAATTTGGTGAACCTGCAAATGCCTTCAGCTTAAACATTCTTGGAGGCAGAGAGCAAAAAGAAGCAATTTATGTTTGAAATTAATAAGAATTCTCAAAGAAGTGACTTCAGTTTCCTAACATGTCCGATCACAAAACAGTTACAATATGAATAAAACTGTCCCGTGTTGCCTTTTGATTTTGCTAACAGTATATGTGCTTACTGACTTCAGTCTACAATTCCAGCTTGACTGGGGTCACTCTCATATGCTTGGTTTTTCCCAGTTAAGAACAAAGAAACACCTAGTCCTTAAAGTAAAAGTACAGCTTCCCAAGACAATGTTAACTTTTGAATTTTTTACGAATGTAATAGATATGCACTCAAAATAGAAGAGTGCTTACTGAATTATGGACTGCGTTCAATCAATCGATTAGTACCTACTGACTAAGCAATTATGTGTAAGTAACTCATGCAAATTTAAAAAAAGATTCAAAGTACATGTGATGAATATTAATTGAATAATGC